TGTGGTCTGTAACAATTGCTATGCTTGAGCTCACTGCTGCTACCACTTTACCTGTGCATCTTATAGGGGGTCTTATTTTTTTCCCTAACCCTCCACTTTACCAAGCATGATGTCCTTCTCCAGGGACTGGACCCTCCTGATGATATGTTCAAAGTATGAGAGACAAAGCTCTAAGGAACATTCTGGCCTTATTTCTTCCAACAGATTTGTTTGTTCTTTTGGCAACCCATGGTACTGTTCATATTCTTCTCCAACACCATAACTCAAAAGTATCAATTCTTCTACAGTCTTCCTTATTAAGTCTAGCTTTCATATGCACATTAGGCTGTTAAAAATATCATGGTTTAGGTCTGGTGTACTTCATTCATTCAACAATTTAAGAGGTTTTATGCAACAGATTTGCTTAATGTAATATGTCATTTGATTTCTTGACTGCTGCTTCCATGAGTGCTGATAGTTGATCTGAACAAAATGAAGTCTTGGACAACTTCAACCTTTTCTATATCTATCATGATGTTATTTATTGTTTCCGTGGTTAAGATTTTTATTTTCTTTACATTGAGGTGGAACCCATTCTGAAGGCTGCATTCTTTGATCTTCATCAGTAAGTATGTTAAGACCACTTCACTTTCAGAAAGCAAGGTTATATTGTCTCCATATCACAGTTTGCTAATGAGTCTTCTCCAAATCTTCGCCACGGTTTTCTTCATATAATCCACCTTTTTATATTATGTGCTCAGCATACAGATTTAATAAGTATGGTGAAAGAACACAACCCCAGAACACATCTTTCCTAATTTTAAACCATTCAGTGTTTCCTTGTTCTGTTCAAACATCTCTCTTCTTTTATGCACAAGTTCTTCATAAGCATAATTAAGTGTTCAGAATACTCATTCTCTGCAATGTTGTCCAGAGCTTCTCATGATACATAATCTCAGAGATCCTGAATGGAGTTTCTGAGGCTGTAAATCTTTTCTCCTGCAGAGTTGCTGGGGGGTTCAAGCCATCCTTGTGGCTCAAAGATCAGCGTTTATCCTCTAGAGCCACCACGTTCCCAACATAGTATTGTTGTTGTTGCTGTTAAGTATCATTGAGTCAGTTCCAACTCATTGTGACCCTGTATAGTGTTTTCTAGGAACAACTGGTGAGCTTGAACTATCCACCTTGCAGTTCCAATCAATTTTGCTGTCTAGCATATTAATCCACAGTGCCACACCAGGACACAGTCAGCCGTAAGGAGTAATGGAGTCCTGATAGATTTACAACATGGAATAACCTTGAAAGCACCATGCTGAAAGAAATAAATCAGCCATAAAAAGACAAAATTGTGGTATTACTTAAATGAAATATCTTGAACAACAAATGTGGATAGACCTAAAGTTTTTCATCAAAAGAACGATCAGAGCATTAATAGGAGAGGAGAGGAATTCTGAGTTACTGCACCAAAAACCATGGTTGATGTTCAACCATTTCAGGAAGTAGTATATAATCAAGAATTCCTTATATTGCAGTGTCCTGGTGTGGCACTGTAGGAGAAGCACTGGACTGCTGACCAAAAGTTTGGCTGTTCAAACGCACCAGCCACTCCTCAGAAATACTATGCTCAGAACTGACTCAACAGCACTTAACAGCAACAACAACTGGCACTGAAGGAGGGCATTCAAGGCACACTAAAAGCATTGAAAAATAACAAAACTTTTGAAATTGACAAAATGGCAGTTGAAACTCTCCAGCAAATGGTATTGACAAAGAATACTGAATATAACAAGGACTACCAGAAGAACAGATAATTCAGTCTTGGAGGATGTACAAACTGCTCCTTAAAAGCTAGGATGGTGAGACTTTGTCTCAAATTCTATGTTCATGCTATCAACAGAGATTGACAAAAATGCATTATTTTTAGTAGAGAATTGGTGGAAAAGATGGAAATCTTCAATGAGATGGATTGACAACATGGATGCAACAATGGGCTCAATGACAGAAGCTATTGTTTGGCTGAAGCAAAACAGGAAAACATTTCAGCTTTCTTCCAGATTTCTACAGGTTCATTATGTTATAACTCAATAAAATTAAGAAAGGTGTGTGACAGGGGTATATTCTTTCACCATATTTATTCAACTTGTATGCTGAGCAAAGAATTTGAGAAGCTGAGTTATATAAAGAAAAATGTGGCATCAGGATTGGAGGGTGACTCATTAACAACTTGCAACATGCAAATGATACAACCTTGTTTGCTGAAAGTGAAGAGGACTTAAAATACTTACTGATGAAGATCAAGGACAACAGCCTTCAGTATGGATTGCATCTCAATGTAAAGAAAATTGAAATCCTCACCACTGGACCAATATACTACCTTTTTATCAATGGAGAAAATATTGAAGTTGTCAAGGACTTCATTCTTCTTGGATCAGCTAATAACACTCATGGAAGCAGCAGTCAAGAAATCAAACAATGTATTGCATTAGGCAAATCTACTGCATGAGACCTTTTTAAAATGTTGAAGAGCAAAGATGTCAGCTTGAGGACTAAGGTACACCTGATTCAAGTCATGCTATTTTCAATAACCTTATATGCATGTGAAAGCTGGACAGTGAATACAGAAGAACCTAGAAGAATTGATGCTTTTGAGTTACCGTGTTGGAGGAGAATATTGAAAGTGCCATCGTCTGCCAAAGAACAAACAGATCTGTGTTGGAAGAAGTGCAGCCAGAGTGTTCCTTGGAGGCCAGGATGGCCAAACTTCGTCTCTCAAACTCCAGACATATTGTCAGGAGGAACCAGTCACTGGAGAAAGATATCATGTTTGGTAAGGTGGCGGGTCAGAGGAAAAGAGGAAGACCCCCAGCAAGATGGGTTGGCTGAATGACTGCATCAGTGGGCTCAAGTGTGGCAACAATTGTGAGGTTGTCCCAGAACTATGCAGTGCTTTCTTATGTTGTGCATAGGGTCACTATGAGTCGGTACCAATTCAATGGCACCTAACAACAACATCAGCATAACTCAATAACAGCTAAAAACAAACATATAAGCAAACAGCCTTTGGTGGCCAGAGTGAGGTAGAAAATAGGAGTCAGTGATTAAGACACGCTAATCTGTAAAGATGAACTGAAGGCACCAGAAACAAATCTCCAGGAATTCATGTAATGCAAATTGAAATATTTCAACAAACTGATACAGCACTGGAGAAACTCACTTACCTATGCCAAAAAATGGACAAGATAGATACCAGGGAAGCTGATTGGAAGAGATCCATATTTGTGCCCATTCCAAATCTTAGACAATATCATTAATACCACATGCAAGTAACATTTTGCTAAAGATAATTCAAAAATGGCTATACTACAACATTAACATGGAACTGTCAGAGATTCAAGCCAGTAAAAGATGAGGATCTGGAATAAGGGATATAATTGTTGCCACAAGATGTATTTTGGCTGAAAGCAGACAATACCAGAAAGATGTTTACCTGTGCTTTCTTGACTTTAGAAATGATTTTGACTGTGTGAATCATGACAAGTATGGACAACATTATGGAAAAGGAGTATTCCAGAACACTTATTTGTATTCATGAGGAATCTGTACATAGACCAAGAGGCAGTTGTTCGAACAAAACAAGAGACGACTGAATGATATAAAATAAGGAAAGGACTGTATTCTTTCACCATAATTATTCACTCTGTATGCTGGGAAAGCAATTCTAGAAGCTGTATTATATGAAGAAAAGCATGGCATCAGGGTTGGAGGAAAAGTCATTAACAACCTGTGATATGAAAATGATACAACCTTGTTTGCTAAAAGAGAAGGGAACTTTAAATACTTACTGATAAAGACCAAGACCACAGCCATCGATATAGGTTACATCTCAGTGTAAAGATAAATGGAGAAATGGAGAAGAGATTGAAGTTATTAAAGACTTCATTTTGTTTAGATCAACCATCAATACTAATGGAAACAGCAGTCAAGAAATCAAATGATATATTGCATTAGGCAAATCTGCTGCACAAGACCTCAGTAAAGTGTTCAAGAGCAGAGATATCAGTTTGAGGACTATGGTGCACCTGATCAAAGTCATGGTATTTTCAGTAACATCATATGCGTGTGAAAGTTGGATGATGAAGAAAGCCATAGAGTAATTAATGCATTTGAGTTATGGTATTGAGAAAGAATATGAAAAATACCATGGGCTGCCAAAAGAACAAACAAATCTGTGTTAGAAGTACAGCCAATATGCTCCTTAGAAGTCAGTAAGTCCTAACTTCATCTGTCATATTTTGGTCATATTATCAGGAGAGACCAGTCCTTGGAAAAGGTCATCATGCTTGGTAAAGTGGTGGGTCAGTGAGAAAGAGGAAGCACTCTAAATGAGATGGATTGTCACAGTGATAGGAGTAATGGGCTCAAGTATAGCAGCTACTGTGATGTTGGCACAGGACTGGGCAGTGTTTCATTCTGAAGTGCCTAGGAGCACTATCAGTTGGTAATGACTAGTCAGCACCTAAAAACAACAACAATCTGTGAAGGTAGATTTAAAAGTTAGAAATGTATTATGGGTAGCACCACCCAAAGCTACTGTGAAGGAGTTGATTCCTACTCAAATTTACTTTATTGGACAGAGTAAAACTGTTTCAGAGGCTTTCCAAGTCTATAAATATTTATAGACTGCTTCATCACGCTCCCATGGAGCAATTGGTAGCTTTGAACCAACAACTTTTCTGCTAGAAACCCAATGCTTAATCCCCAGTACAACCAGGGCTTTGATGAATACCATTACTGTCACTGAATATTGTTAAGAATGTGTATTGACAAATGTTTTGCCACATACATACTTATCAGACTTTTAGAAAAAGAAAGAATAAACTAGTACTTCAGTTTTCAAAATCTTAAAAAATATTGTGAATATTTGGTAAATGAGCATTTAGGAAATACTGCATGTGCTTTTATTTCCTAATGTGGATATTATTATTATATAATTAGTAAAGGATGAGATAAAAAACACATACCAGAGCAATTCCTGCAGCTAATTTTGGATTGCATGCCATTCCATGGTATGTTGCGCCCACATAATTAGGATGGTCCCTATAACTAAACAAAAACAAAATCTGATTCTTGTGGACAAACACATTTTAAATGATCAATAACATTTAAAAACTGAATTCCTCAATAAAGCCATGTTTTTTTAAAGTCTGATTCTGATGTCTTTTGCTTTCAATCATTGTTTAATTGGATAATATTAATTCATTTTTTTTTCTTAAATATTTTATTGTGAATTATGTGATAGTTTACATGGGAGAACATTAGTTTTACATTCATTCTAGCGTATATCATCTCATTGCTATGGTTACAATCCCCTGCATTAATTCATTCTTATCAGTAAGAATTCTAAGCCTACATTTAAGTTATAAGATGTACACACCAAAGCTCAGTAGTATCTAATCTTTGCCAAAATCCACCATTACTGTTGTCATCATTAGATGGATATAACTCTTACAGGTAAAATGAAGGTATGTGGACTTCCATTTTATTCATTAAGTGAACCTCAAAATTATATGAAATGTTTGTGTTGAGGAGATAGAGAGAAGGTGACAGTATGCAGTGGACTCACTAAGAGAGAAAAAAATATAGGAATTGTTCTCACAGGAGTTTAGTCCTTAGTTACTCCTAAGCCTCCAAAACTGAACTTTGATGTTGTTATCGTGAAGTGCCGCTGAGTTGATTCAGACTCATTGAGACCCTGGTAGGGCTTCTGAAAAGAAACTGGTGGGTTTCAGTGACCAACCTTGTGATTAGCAAATCTGTGCTGATCCTACAGCCTCACACCTCTTAGATGTCATTAATGAAAACAACAGATTTCTAATGTTTTACATATTTCCCAAGATGCTTTTGTTTTTAGTATCAAGAACTATCAATTTAATAAGAGGAACTATATAAAGACTCTTGAAAAGTATAGCATAACTAATGAAATGACTATATAATAAGAATTTTGGGGTATCATAGTTATAATGAGGACTAATAAACTAGTCCACCTAAGGTCTGGGCTATTTTAATGTTATGTGTTGCAACCAAATCAAAATGTTATGAGATTATAACAATCTATCAATGAATTTGCATTTAATATTAAAATAATAGTTTCTATTATTTACCTCTGAGAAAAATTGAATATCACAAGTGTGCCATGTTTACCACAAGATATTCAGTCCCTCCCTACAGTTCCATAGGTAAACTGTACACTCTTTATAGATAAATTATGTCTGTGTGATTTGGTATCTTTCACTATTTTATATAGTACATATTATCAGCACAACAATTTTTGGTATATTCTTCTTTTCAGGTGTCTTATCATCATATATAATAAATTATATGTATAATTTTATTAGCTAACATATCAAGTAAGCTAACAGAGCTTATTTCCATGCAGTTTAAAGGGCTTACATTAACAAGTATGCTATATCATAAGGCCTTTGAACCAAATTTGTTTGTTTCCATGCCAAAAACCTTTGCAGCACATCTTCAGCATCCCCATTAGTGGAAATCTTATTTTTATCTGACCAGAGTTCCAAAGAAGATAGTGTAGCAGTTATTTTAAACTGGGAAAACATCTGAAATAGAAGATATATAATAAGCAGTTCTGGATATAACCACATCACATCTTTATATTCAATTCACTATTTTATAGGGATTATTTCATTGGAGGGTGAAGCTAATTGGTGGACTAGGTTTTTTATAAAAATGGAAAATTTTTATACAAATAAATTGCTATATATTCAATAATAATATTTAAATATAAAATATAAGTACTTACAGTGTTGATAAGCCCAAAGATCTGGACAACTTTCTCGGCAACAACTGCCACCTCAGAGCCCATATAATCATACTGAAAGGTAAATTTTGTTTCTTAATCACTAGTGAAAATTATTAAATTACCATAATTTAACTGAACATAAAATATATGAAAAACTAAAATGGCAAAATACTTAAGTGACAGGTCAAAAGTAAAATTAAGATTTATCAAGTGTTTACTAAATGTTTGGCATATCATAGAGACTCTGTATGTTAGTCAATATGATAAAAACCGAACTTTCAGCCACAAGTTCTGCAGCTCAAGCTTCCAGTTGTACATAGGAAAAAGATGAGATTTTCTGCTACTTCAAAGATGTAAAGCCTTGAAAATCCTATGCAGGGTCACTATGAATCAGAACCAACTCAACAGCATTTAACAACAACAACAATTAGAATGAGAAAGTTGTGATTAGTTTCCTTTTTATAGATAAAGAAATCAAGGGTCAAAGAGTTCAGCATTCAGAATTATATAGCTAGTAAATGTATAAACTAAGACTCAAATTCATTTCTATTACTGAAGCGTGGTTCATGTATTAGTTTACCCATTGCCATCAAGTCCATTTTGACCTAGTAAACCTATTTAGGGTTTATGAAACTGTAAATCTTAGACAGTCTCATCTGCTACTATTTCCTGTCCTTATTTCAATAATTCAGTGTGTTTATATACCTTAAGAGTGAGGTGGCACTGGACTGGGAGCCACAGCATGGTGGGACGAGCCCTCCAGCCACGATGCAAAGAAAGATGAGGCTTTCTTTCTATTTCCAGGAAGATCTTCAGAAAGCCTCAGAAACCCTATACAGGGTCACTATGAGTTGTAATCAACTCTACATCACTTAACAACAACAATATATCTTGAATAAACAATGTACTTTTGAAACATAAAGCTTTTATCATAATAATGAACAATTTAATGAACACAACCTCATCCAAGAGAACAATAGCACAATATTTTCTGTGAAATGCTAAGTGTGTGTCAAAATTATACAAAGAGTCAGCCTGTGATCTTCAGTAATATCCTGTAAGTCTACAAAAGACAGCTGACAGAAAATAAAACACAGAGCTTATTAGAGTCTCTTTCAGATGCAAATAAGAGATATGGAATTTTCTTGGCTCTTGAAAGTCCAGATCTTCCTATTTTTGTGCATGTAAGTTGTCCCCAATAACTGTATGATTTTTTTGCACAATTGCATCATATAATATATATGGTAAATCTTTGCAAGGCTAAATATATAAAAAGCAAAATAATAGAAATAAAAAATAAGATTATGAAAATGAATAAAAAATCAGTAATCAAAATATAAATAGACTGAATGCTACTTAATGACAAAGGCT